CCTCCCAGGTCCTGTGGGATTTCCTTCAACCACTACCATCAAGGATGCCCCCAAGCCAACCACTCCTTCCTCTAGTAGTGGTATTGCCTCAGAGTTCAGCAGTGAGATGTCTACCTCCGAGGTGAGCAGTGAGGTGGGCTCCACCGCTTCTGATGAACACAACGCTGGAGGCCTGGAGTCTGGCTTGGTCCCAAGGCCAGAAAGGCGTTGTAGCCTCCACCCAGTACCCACCTCTGGGGTTTTTCAGCGCCAGCCTTCTTGTGCAACCTTTTCCAGTAATCAGTCTGACAATGGCCTGGACAGTGATGACGACCAGCCTGTTGAAGGGGTCATAACCAATGGCAGCAAGGTGGAAGTAGAAGTAGATATCCACTGCTGCCGCGGAAGAGATCTTGAGAACTCTCCTATTCTGAAAGAGCATTCTTCTACCCCATGTCCTGAGGAACACCCTAGAGGGTTGTGCTTTGGGATCCGACGACAGAACAGTGTGAACAGTGGCATACTTATGCCACTGAACAAGGACAAGATGGAGTTACAGAAGTCTCCTTCCACTTCCTGTCTGTATGGAAAGAAACTCTCCAATGGCTCTATTGTGCCCCTAGAAGACAGTTTGAACCTCATAGAAGTGGCCACAGAAGCACCCAAGAGGAAAACTGGCTACTTTGCTGCCCCCACTCAGCTGGAACCAGAGGATCAGTTTGTTGTACCTCGTGACCTGGAGGAAGAAGTGAAGGAACAAATGAAGCAGCACCAGGAAAGCAGGCCCCAGCCCGAATCCCATGAAGAGGATCGGACCGAGCCCCCAGAGGAGTTTGATACAGCTCTGTGATTGTGCCCCTGCAGGGGGCACAGTGTGAGGGAGGGTGTGTGGGATTGGGGAATGGACCTTTCAGAGGCACTTTGCCTCTGTGTTTCTGACCATAGATACATGGAATAGAACTTGGAGCCAAAAAAGATGACAGCTAATCAGGGCCTGGCTCTTGAGCCAGTACCATGTCAGTGTTAAGTTTTACATTTAACCTGCATTGGATTTCCCAGCATTATTGGGAAGAAAGCAGATGTTCTGTATCAGTCCTACCACCTGCCATTAACCCTTTCTCTCCTAGGACCATTTTGAGAATTTGCCTGCCTGGGCAGAAAAGGGACTTTTTCTGTGGAGGAAGAAACGGAAGGTTTATTTCTTTTACTAATTGCTGCTGATGGATCTCTGTGACAGAGAAATCACCTTATCTCTTAGACTAACTAATGAGGTGTGACATGACTAGTCACATGGCTTTTCATTCTTCTCTACGAGAATACAGCCTATCAAAATGATGTTTATTGGAGATGTAGAACCAATCAAACAGATAATTTATGTATGTAATGTAATGAGAGCACTTTTCATTGACTGTGAACTTTTTATTTTTGAATCTGCACTCGAGCCAATCTTCTTAGAGGCAGCCTGGCACCTTTGTCCATAGGCAGAAAGATAATTGTGTGTTGGAGCCTTCTCTGAGGGTACCTTAGAAGGGCCCTGGAAATTGAACTGTTGGATGTCAGACGGTGAAAGCTCCTGAGAATCTTGAAGTAATAGGATCTTCTTTGGGGGACAAAGATGAGGCAGAAGTGATGACTAAGACTGCTTCCCCATTGTCTGAAAAAGAGAATCGCTCTTTGACAGGATTTGTTATTCTGGCAGATCACGAAGTGGGCACTCAGATTGGCCTCCTTCTCTCATGTGTGGTAAAGTTGGCCATCAGCCACCTGGTAGGGCCAAGACCTGTTGGTACCCAAGTCAGACCACTGATACCCAAGTAACTGGGTTATATCAGATGACTTTGAAACAAGCTGAATGGGGTCAAGTGGATGGAGCTCACAGGTTAAATTTGTTTCTTGTTTCTCTAGAATAGAGATGGCCTATTGGGAGCTCACTCTTTCATGTTTAACAGGTCACTCTTCTGAACTAACTCACCACTGTATATGGGTTCAGAGTATGGGCTCAGTACAACATAAGAAAGACTTACGTTGAGAATTGTTTTAAGCTTACACAAAACAATATTTTCTTACACTCCATGTAATCCTAGAAAAATGCAGTTTCCTCCATATTTGTTGCTTTTTCCATTGAAAGATTTACATGGAAAAATTAATTCCTATCAAATTTTATCATTGCTTTTTTTTCCCATTAGGAAATGTGCTTTGAAATGTTAGAATATTTTACAATTAAATAAAGTGGAACTCTCTTGTTTCATCAGAAACAAAGCATTAAATAGAAGATTGAAAGTATGTATTTGTTCATTTGTATTTTGGGAGAAGTTTTTGTTCAAAGCAATATTCAAAAATCAGATGACCTGTCCACAAATAGTTATGTCTCTCCATTTTCTTAGAAGTCCCATACTCACGTGCATGTGTCAGTGGGGTACGCTCTTAGGGTATTTTGTACCACTACAGTGGCTGCCTAATAATCAACCCGTCAAGAATCTGAACCTCTAAATCATCAGGAACACTTGACTTCTCTCTGTCAAACTACTGGTCAGCTACTGAAAATCTTTAGAACTCAGGTTTTTGATTTGAAGTGTAGAACAGGGTGGCTCATACAAAGTTTAGGTGCTGTTAAAAAGATGGGAACAATAGTGTGTTGCCACCTTATTTTTATAAGGGAAAATTTTAAAAATGAAGGAAAAACCTAAGATTGTAGGTAATGGGTGATATAAAACATCTTCCTGCTCAAGACAGCCACATCTTTGGGTTATACAATAGTGATGTCTAAAAAATCAGTTATTTTGGGAAAATACCACTTTAATAGCATATCATAAAAATGTACTTTATCTGTGAACTCTTTTCTTGTCTTCTATTTGTTTCTACCCTATTTACTGGAACCACCTCAAAACGCAGTTCTGCAATGACCTTACTGAAAATAAGTGTAGTAGCTGGGAAGGGTGGCACACACAGGTAATCTCAGCTTCATGGAAGACTAAAGCAAGAGATAAAAAGTTCAAGCTCAGCCTGGGCAACTTAGTGAGACCTTGTTTCAAGAAATAAAAGGGCTGGGAATGTAGCTCAGTGTGAAGGCCCTGGGTTCAATTTCCAAGTATCATCCCCTCAAAAAAGCATACTTACTTTTTGGTCAACAGGACTCTGAAATTCCAAATGTATTTTCATGTGGTAGTGTTATTTTCAGGACCCATTCAGTTGTGTTGAAAACCATTTATGTAGGTATACCAAAACTGATTATGTTTTGCAATTTCCTTTCATTCATGTCTTTCTACAGTTGCTCTGTATTAAAACAGGGTGAAAAGGCCATAGCCATTACCAAAAAGATACTACATATTTACTTTGACCCACAAGGTAATTTACAGATTTGTTATCTGGGTAGGCTGCCAATGAAAGCCAGTAATCTTTCTCCAAGTGAGTGTAATCTTCTCAGTACTTTACCCAGAGAGTGCGTACCCAAGTGGGCAGAGTACAGGTGATCTATAGCATGGAAAGCCTGGCCTCTGCATGTACCTCTGAAGGAACACTTTATTATGAGTGTAGTTCAGGAGTCCTGTGGAGAAAGGAAAACACATGTGGTTGTATATCTGAAAATTTGTATGGTACCTATGACATAAAGTGACAGTGCTACTGTGACTATGTCATTGAATTACCACTCCTGACACGGTGAAGGCTTTCATATACTACTGTAGATTGTACTTGTGCAATAAGTTGGTGAACTCATTTTCCTGGCATACAGAACAGCTTGGTAATCACTGGGTGCTATTACAATTGCTTGTATTGAGTGCTATTTTCCAGGAGATGGAGCCAGTTAGGTTTGGCTGATCTACTGACTATCAAACAATGCTCTTTCTGTGAAGACCTTCAGCAAATGTAGGTACTTGGAAGCCACAAGCTCACCTTCTTTATTTATTCAATAATTATTAATAAAGAGACCTCCATAAGGGAGCACTTGGCTGTTATCAATAAATGTACCAGTTACTAAAGAATTAGTCTCCAAGCCATTCGGTGATGTCTGCAGCATCACCATAGAACTGTCTTGTGTCACTTTTTACTTCTCTCTGGGTGGAGCTTTCCACGCTCCCCAATCATAGAGGCAAGTTAATCTTTCTCTCCAGTTAGTGACTTTCCCCTGTGGTTGGGTAAGCACTTCCTAGATTGAGAAATGCAACTACAGTCAAACCTGCTCTGTTCCCTCATTTGGTGATCAATCAGCATAAACTCCTTGTATTCTAAATCTCATGCACCTCTCCCAGATGCTATAGGGTTTTCTCTCACTGTTGCCAATGGATATCCAGACAGTGAGCTCATGGTTTTGTGCAATCATTGTCGTATTGTAGTCCTAAGACTCATTATAGTGTATTTTTGATATTTTTTGAAATGTGTTAAATTTTTTAATTCAATAATACGAGCCAGAGCATGTTGCAGCAAATCTATTGTTTGTAAAAAATAACAATAACAATAATAAATAAAATAAAATGGAATCTTTTTATGCTTTTGTTTTAAAATGGAATGCTTATTTTATAAATGTTTTATCATGAAGCTATAATTTTCTCTCCTACATGTATAGAATTAGGTTTATCTTTGCTTGTTTTGTTTTTTGTTTTTGGTGTGAAGCTCTCACTGTGTAGTCTAGGCTCACCTTGAACTCTCGGCGATCCACATGCCTCAATCTCTCAAGTGCTTGTATTACAGGTGTGTACCATCATGACCAGTGTTAGAAATATGTTCTTTTTTTTTTTTTTTTGTCTTTTTCCTTTTTATTGGTACCAGGGATCGAACTCACGACTGCCTGCTTGCAAAGTAGGTGCTTATGCCGCTGAGCTAAATCCCCAGCCCCTAGAAATACGTTCTTAATCAGAATTCCTTTAGGATTTTTCTGCTCTTCCTTCAGGGGATGATAGATAAAAATAAATACATGAAATCACATTACACAATACTCTTGGGAGCTGAGTTAAGGCAAAAATAAATTATTTTGGTCAGCTTTTGTATTACCTTTGTGTCACTTTAACAGAACATTCAACACAGGATACTTACAAAGAAGTTGTTTATTCAGCTCACAATTGTGGAAGTTCCAGAGAATGGCACTGGCATTAGGTCAGTTCTTGCCAGGTCATGTGGTGGGTAGCAGTGGCAGAACCATGTTTGGGAATAGGTGATTACATCTCAAACTAGGAACAGGGAAAGCTGGGTAGGACAAGATTCAAGCTTTACATCCATCCCCTCTCAAGAACTACTTTTCAAGGAGTCCCACAAGAACGCCCTGCAGAGGAAACAATCCTGATGACCAAGGATCTTACGGTGGGCTCCCAAAGGTTCTGCTGCCACCCAATAGCACCAAACTGGATCTAGTCATCTGTCAATGGATCCTTGTGGGGGACCCATACCCAAACTGTAGCACCTTTTCTGCTGAAATAACAGTAGAAGTTTTTAATTTAGAAAGCATTCTGACTTGGCTTATATGTTTAAACAAATTCCTAAGGCAAGAAACAGTCCTTGTTTACATGAAGGTTATCAGCTGACCAGAAGAAACTCGATTGTAAACAATGTACAGACTCTCTTAAGTCCTAGGGGCTGAAGAGAGAAACTGGCCACCACATTTTTCATAATGCAGTGGGCTCAGTGTCAGGATTTCAGATGTAGTGGTGAGTATGGGCTCAAAAGATAGTCGTAATCCAGTTATACCTCAAAATTAGTGTCTTTAGGTCAGGTGTGATAGTACATACCTGTAATCCTAGCACTCTGGGAGGCTGAGGGATGGAGGATGGCAAATTGGAGCCCAGCCTGGGCAATTCAGCGAGAACCTATCTCAAAGAAAAAAGGGTTGGGGATGTAGCTCAGTGTGAAGGCCGAGAGTTCAATCCACAGCACCCAAAATTGGTGCTTTTTGACACCACTGGGGTTACTGTTCCATAATCTCTGAATTCAAGCATATTAGCTACCTCCAAATAAAGGCCATGTTAAAGCCATTTTGCAGATTTCCTCTTCATTTCGCAGAATGAACATTTTTAAAAACTTCATTCGGAGCCCAGAGTGGTGCACACTTGTAATTCTAGTACTCTGGAGGCTGAGGCAGAAGAATTGTGAGTTTAAGGCCAGCCTGGGCTACAGTGTGAGACCCTGTCTCAAATATGTTACTAAACAGATAAATGGATAAAGAAAATAATGGTATTTGCACACAATTGAAATTAAGGATAAATTTGAGTTATTTGTAGGTACCTAGAGACCATAATGTTAAGTAAAAAGACATACAAGCTTAAATAATGCATGGTTTCTCTTAGATGAGAAACCCAAAACATAAAGAGCAACATAAAGAATAGGTAACAGGGAAATAGTGTGTACAGTATCATACTCAACAACTTTACTGAGCACCTTTAGATGCTGGGACTACACTATTACCTCCTTTAATACCTCAGTTCCATTAGATACACATCTTCCTAGTCTGTGGTAGTATCAACAAAGTTCTGAACATGTTCTTCACTTTATGCATCTTTCCTGACATACTAAAGGCTGTAAGAATGAATTATTCATTAAGTGTTCCTGTGTGGGACTCACTGGGTCTGAGTTTTGTCTCTGCCACTTAAGAACTTTAGACAAGGTACATTTCCTCTAAGGCTAGTTTCTGTGTTTTGTTTTGTTTGGGACAGGGTTCTGTGCATCCAGGCTGATCTAGAGCTCATGATTCTCCTGCCTCAGCCTCCCCAAATTCTGGGATTATAGGTACGCACCACAACACCCACCTTTTTGTGGTGCTGGGCATCAAACTCAGCCTCACAATGCTACCCAAGTACTTGCCTTTGAGCTGTCTCCGTTAGCCCAATTTTGTTTTGTCATTTAAGTGGAAATAATGGTATCTACTGTCAGTTACAAGCTTACACGAAATGATGCAGATAGAATGCTTTTTTTTTTTTTTAAAACACGGTAATGTATTTGGCACATAGTGATCATTCCCTGAAAAGTTAACTGTCAAGTAAACCACTTACTTTGCTTGTCTAACATGTGACTAACCCTTGGCCTGGCTTAGGGGTAGTAAATACAAACAGGTTTACTAAATCATTTTGAACATTATGAAACTACTGATGGAGTGTCATTAGCCACTGATGGGCTCCAGTCAGTGAAATGGGGATTCCTGCCAGGGACAGGGGCCTACCCGGGTTTGGGCCCAAAGCTGGGGTCACACAGGCCACAGTGCCCTTCATCACAAAACCCAACATGGACAAAACTCTAACCGCGACATGTTCAGTGAACAGAGCCTAGATGAGAACGTTATGTGGAGGGATGTTAGGCTCCTGAAGAATGGCTATCTGATTTCTGCTGCTGGTAAGCATTGCCATTCAGTGAAACCCTAGGACTATAGCCACTGCTCCAGGTGAACAGTGACAGTGTCATACCTTTCAGAGGCATGGCTAACGTTATTTCAATTAAGCACACAATTTTCCAGGTGCTTATCTTCTTCCAAGTTTTATTTTTATTACTTACTTATTTTTATGAGGTTCTCTTTTGACCCTTTGTCTTGGACAGGTTCCATGAGGATTAGCTACTGAAAAGAAAGACAACACTTAGAGAAAGACCTCCATAATATGAATGTAAGTGTTTTTACCTGGATCTGACATAAACAGACTGGGTGTAAAGAACAAGAACAAGTATAAATTAAGATGAAAATATAAAAAAATTAACTGCTTTCTTTTTGAAATCAATTGAACAACATTTAATTTTACAAATTTTCTCAGTATTTGGAAACCTCATTAAAAAACCTTAGGAAACATTTCAAAAAGGTGAATTTCAATGGAATGATTTGCCACAGCAAAAAAGAGCTGGTAGGAGACATTAGCCCTGGACCCTGAGGGAGGATTCCCAAGGAGGATTGTGCCTGCTAAAAGCATCTGTTTCCCTGGGTCAGGACTCCAACTGCTTAGGGTACACTCTGGTGGCCCTCTAATAGCAGAGTGCTTCCCTCTATGAGGGAACAAGAATAACTGCTTAATTGTTCTCTGGGAGCCAGGCGTGGTGGCTCAAACCTGTAATCCCAGCACTCAGGAGTCTGAGGTGGGAGGGTCATGAGTTTGAGACCAGCCTGGACTACAAAGTGAGCTCAAGGCCAGCCTGAACTGCATAGCAAGACCCTATTGCAAAAAAGAAAAAAAAAAAATCGTTCTCTGGGACCACAAGGCGAAAGGGAAAGGGGCGTTGGCATGTTTCTTCTGATGACTTCAGACAAGACAGGTGTGATTTCTACTGAAACTCTGGAACTGTTACCCTTTGATGTACAGTTCCTACCTTTTAGCATTACACTGACTAGTGAGCTGTTTCTTTCTGGTGAGGGTACCCTCACTTCTTACGTTGTTCTCTGCAGTAAGCTATCATTGAATCAGTCAGCAATCATGGATCTCTTTTACAATGGAAAAATGAGACAATTACTTAATTTTTGCATTGGTACTAAAAGCAGCACCTACAAAGTCAAGCAGGTGAAAACCACAGTTATCTAATTGACTTCAAAGGAACTGCCTTTTTGAGAGAAACAGGCGAGGGAAGGTTGACATTTGGGGTTGGAAGATCTCCTTAAACTGTCTCAGACCACAGGTATTCTGGTGCATCAATGTAATTTCTGTGCTGTTCTTGGCTGCCTTTAGAGAGCTTCTGTTTTCTGTAGCTCTGCAGGGCCAGGACCACGCTGACACCATACATAATGACCAAAATACAAGCGAAGGTGGCTGCTGCTCCGTCAGTGCCTGCCAGCTGGCAGTTCATCCAGGTGAGACCTCTGCGGGCATACAGCCTCTCTCTTTTTTTGCAGGTGTCCGTGGAATTGATCTGCAAAGCTACATGGAGGTAAATGCCAATGCCTATACAGTAGCCCACTGCAGCAAGGAGACTGAAGGTGGCCTCCAAGAGGAGCCATTTCCCAGGCAGTTTTGTTAGACTCTTGGCTCCTTGGAGTAGAACACCCATGGTGAGGACACCCAGGCCCAGGGAAACAGCCACACCGCTGTATATAAGGGGTGACCGAAGGATAGTGTATTGCTGGTCCAACTGCCGAACTTCTTCCAGCTCGCTGCCCTCAAATGGTGAGTAATAGTTGTTCCCAAAGCTGCTGCCACTGACAAAGCTGGCGCTGAATCCGGCAAGGACAAAGTAGGAGGCCACGATACATATGAGAACCATCCCATTCAAAATCACTTCCATTATCTGTACCACACCTATGAGAAGAGAGATTTGCGGTTTAAAACGGACATCACTCACCCAGGCCAAACCCAAGGATTCCAATGACCTCACTTTAAAAACCAGGTCAGATTCAACTTTTTTGGTTTCTGTGGTTGTTTTGTTTTTAATGTATTTGAAAGATTAAAATGCCACTTGGGGCAGTTTCTTAAAAAATGCAACATGACCCTGCAATTGTACACCTGGGCACTTTATGCTAAAGAAATGAAAATTTATGTTCACATAAAAACATGTAAATGAGTGTTCTCAGAGGCTTTCTTTGTTATGGTTAAATACTTGGATGACTCAAGTGTCCTTCAGTGAGTGAAAGGCCCCTCAGGAAGCTCTACTAAGCAATACAGTGGAACGAACTATTGATTGAAATGGTTTTTTTTGAGACAAGGTCTCAAACTAACCCAGGCTGGCCTCAAACTCACAGCAGTCCTGCCTGTCTCCCTAGTGCTAGGATTACAGAAGTGCTTCACCATGCTTGGATGCTTCCTTTTTTTTTGTAGACAGAGGTATATTTGAATCTGCATTGCATCTCCCTTTTCTGCTTTGTTCCACAAAAGCACGCACATCACACATACTGTTCCACATCCTGCTCCTTTATTCAGTGAGCCCCAGAGATGTTTCCAGGTCAGTTCCTAGACTGGTCACATTCTTTGCTATGAGGTTTCCAATTCCATAACATGGATGGACCAATCTGTTCAGCCAGGATCTGGCTGTTCATTTGAAGAGAAATTTCCTACAGGTTTAAGGGAATTACAAATGTCCTGAGGCTGTGGATGCCAGCAGGTGACCAGAGACAGAGTATACTATCTGAGATAAACTTGCATTTAGTATCAATGGAGGCCTGGGACCCCTTCATAGGCATACTTATGGTGGAAAGTCTCCTCCATCCTTTAAGGGTGTACAGAGATGAGGACAAAGAAAGCTTTAAATGCAGAGTGGGAACACTAGGTTCAAGTTCCTGTTGTTTACCATCTTGTAATCTTGCACTTGTCATTCAGTATTTTAAGCCTCAGACACTTTAATAAATGATAGGATAAAAGGATGCCAGGTTTATCTCACAGGGGTTAGAATGAAAGCAAGTGCAATCAGCCTCCATATCACTTCTTAATCTGCAGCTTCTGCACTTACAGACTGAATAAGGATTGAAAATACTTGGAAAAAGAAAGTGATTGTACTGAACATGTACAGGCTCTTTTCATTATTCCCTAGTGCAACACAATGACAGTTTACATAGTATTTGCATTGTACTAGGGATTATAAGTAATCTACAGATTATTCAAAATATGTGAAAATTTGCATGAGTTCTGTGCAAATAAAGGGGATAGAAGTCCCTTGGATTTTAATATTTGAAGGGGATCTTGGAGCCCATGTAGATACAATAGGATGACTATATATGAAATACTGTGAAATTCGTAAGTGGTTACAAATGGGGGATGATGTCAGTGATATTTCTAAAATGCAAGAGGATTAGTTAGATTTAGAAAGAAATGGGATAAATTTATGAAAAGAATTGTTTCTAAGCAATCAGGACCATCTTTTATGTTAGGAATATGACTATGTTTATAATCTGAGCAGTGAAAAGACCATTATCTTAAAGATCTTGGGCAGCCATGCTGGGGTTCACTGATCCTATCTCCTCTGGGCCCACACAAATTCCTGAGGGTCAAAAACACTGTAGTCAAGGGCTCTGAGAGCTGAGAAGCTGCACTGCTCATTTGAAATTCAAAGTAACATTAGAACCCAGCTGCCTACTTGTTGCCTAGGCCCTGTAAATACTAGGCACTCTTTCCCTACAGCACAGCAGTGAATCCACCCAGCTGTGATTCTGATTCCCACAGGGTACCTGTCTCCTGCACCCAAAACCTTTCCCTGCCCTAGTTTTCTTTCTGCATGCATGTGTCTCACCCATGAAGGGAAACAGGGGCACTATGCTCCTGTCACCAAATGGAATCCAGGGAAATCCTTCTCTAGAGGACCTCAACTTAGCCTGGGGAGGACCTTGACATCTCATCACAAAAATGCATTTTAGGATGGGTTGTGAGAGATGTACACTGATTTATTAGGCAGAGTTAGAGAGCAAGAGCAAGTGGGGAGCCTGAGGAGCTGAAGGGGACACAGCTTTGAAGATCACGTGAGTGCATTAAGAGAGGAGGAGGCCAGTTTTTAAGCTGTTGCTGACGTGGCTCAGGGTTGGGTTGGTCATTATCTCAGTTCTGGTTCCGCAATATGGTACTGAAGCAGTCTTTTTTCCTTGAGGAGGCAACCTGGTCTGTGTGATTGTTTTTGCTTGGAGAAGTTTCAGTTTTTTATGGGCTCTGCTGGAGTCCCAAGAAACTGCAGGTTTAAGACCATGACTGGAGACGACTTGGTGTCCACAGGCAGTTGAATGTCAGCTGAATATCCCCGTAAATCTCTAATCTTGATGCTCTTAGTCTTGAAGGGTGATGAGACAGGTTATATAAATGTAGGGAAAAATCAGCCTTGTATTTCCAGTTTTGGACAGACTTGCTGCCTAAATGATTTAACATACTTTACGCAGAGCTGAGCAGGGATGTGACCCAAAGTGCACAAGACAGATACAAAATGAAAGCAAAGGTACCATGCTTTATACTGTGTTTAGCTCACATCAGTATCCTAAGTGAAGAGTCAGTTTTTAGCAAAAGTAGCTTTTAAGCCCCTACTACCTCAGAAGAAAATACAAATCAAGCTTTTAATGATTAACAGCTTGCAGGCCCAATTGTTGGTTTGTTCTCTGTCCCTCTGTGATGATCCCCAACAGTTTTGTTTTCTCATCCAGTTTACTCTTGGAGATGATATGGCAAAGGCATCCTGCCTTAATGATGGACCTGGTTTTTGACTCTGATGAAACTGTTTGAGAGAATAGTTAAGGGAAAAATGTATGCCATATTTTAAATGGGTAGCAGGTCCCAAGTTAAGGCCGAGGAGTGTACCTACCTTTTGTCCTCATGCGTTCCTGACTGACTGACTGCTACAAGAGACAGGAAAACCTGAACTTTTTCTGTCTATGATATATTTGCCAAAACAGTGGAGTCATGATCCAGGCACCAGATATCTTCAGGGCTAATAGAGTAAGAATTTAGACCTTGTCAGTCACTCCACTGTGACAACTGAGGGAGATAGTGGCCTGCCAGGTCCCGTGGTATGGGGTCTGTTGAAGGAATGTGACCCTGGTACTGGTCAGGCCAGACTGGCTTAGCTACCAATATCAAACAGATACAAGTATTCTCTAGCACTGAAGAGCAGTGACTGCCAGAGTGAGCTGTAGCATCTTTCTGGGTAAGATTATTTTCTGAGGCTGACCAGTTAAATCCTCTGCTTCATTATACATCTGTATCTGATTCTGCCTTGTAACTATGAACCTGAAAAAAACTCAGGAAAGTAAACCAAATTATTGTTTTTCTAAAAACTACATGTGAGGTCAAGCCATGGATAACATGAAAAAATTCCCTTCTCTCCAGCAGCAAAATTGTCAATATTTTGTTATGTATTGTTCAAGGATTTTTCTAATCATATAAAAAATACATATATATATATTTAAATCTAAATTTATCTTCTAAATTAAATAAGTTGTATTAAGGGAATGATATAAAAGTATTATAAAGAGAACTACTACCTCCAAATTAAAACATTTCTTTAGACTTTTTTGTATTTACATAAAACAAAGAACATACTCAAATCAAGAATATATTCTAATATTGCATAAGTCATAATTCAATGTGTAGTAAGAACTGTGAAGTTGTTTGGCTAATGTGACATTCTTCTCTTAGAAAGATTTTTATATTCTTTGCTTCTGGATAGATCTCAATTACAGAAAAGGGGTTTCCTTTTTCATACAATAGGACATTTACAAGAGGTACAAAACACTTATGAGGGGCTTAGAGAATGGCTTCTTTACAACCCAGTGCCTTATTTCCATTCCTCATTCCTTAGCCTACTTCTGCCTCTTTTACCTCATTCCAGGGGTAGCTCTCCCCAGGATGCCTTTCTTTGGTAGATACAAGAAGGAAGACCAGGGAGCTCAATGTGGAAGGACTCCTGGGCAGATCTGAAGGAAGCTGGCTTTAGAGCAGTCCAGGTCAAAAGTTATCTCATGTTTGTGTGGCTGTGGACTCTGAAGATCAACTTCTTCCAATTCTCTTGACCACTTCCCTTTCTTTATTCAAGGAGTACACTTTGCTGCACCTCATGCCTTTTCCCTGTGGGTCCTGGCCTCTGGTTTTTGTGTTCTGATAGAATTTTGGTTCTTCCCTCACTAACAGAAATCAAAGCTTGTTACCTCAGAGAACACTGCTCCATGAAACTCTGAGCTAAGCCTGCCATGCTGAAGTTGGCATGTTCCTTTTGAAGTGTTGGCAAGTCACAGAAAAAGGACTCTTGTGAAAGAGTAACTTTGAGCACCTATGTTTGGCAGACCATTTTTAAAAGCCTAAAACTCAAGCATTTCTGCAGGCTTCTCAGTTCGCTTCCTGACTTTTCGGTAAGCCCTGATGGCCAGGATAGCTCCTAGGGCAAAGACCCCAATGCCCAGGCATGCAAAGACCCCAGCTCCTATATCACCACCGTGGAAACCACAGCTGAAGCCACGGTGCCCTTTGCTCTGGTACAGCGCCTCCCTCTCCTGACACACAGGGGAGGCATAGGCACCAGACAGATGGTGGAAGAAGAAGTACATCGCTGGGATATAGGCTCCAGCGATGGCCACATCCAACAAACCCTCGATCAGCAGGCATGGAGGACAGTGCCAAGGGACTCGAAGGACACCCATGACAATAAGGAGGCAGGAGAAGGCCATAAGGGCTCCGCTGTAGGCCATTGCTGCAGTGACCATGGGCAGCTTGAGCTGATAGAACTGGACATCCAGCTGCTTGGCTTTCTCCCCATCAGCACCATCGAAGCCACTGTATGCCCCTCCATATTGGTAGTAGTAAATGCCCCCCAGGCTGGTGATGCCTGTGTAGCCCCC